CGCTGGACCTGTCGGGCGTTGCCTGTACGCACGCTGCGTGCGGTAGGCATCTCGGTCGGCGTTTCGCCGGCCGTCCGGCTACTTTTTCCGGCAACCCCTATATAACTGATCATGATTTGACTTGAAAAGACTAAATATACATAAATTACTCGGGACTTGCCGGTTAACTTTTGAAATCACTCGGAGGGGCTTATATAGCACCTCTGAGGCCCTTTTTGCTAAAATCTTGGACCGAACAACATGACTTCGACATAATCTTGCTAACATGAACATAACTACATAAAAAGAGGGTAAAGGAATGTATACCCTTCAGTCCGGTCGAGAAGTACTCGGTGATGTGCGTGCGTATATATTGCTCGAACGCGTGCGTGCTTACTTCCCTTATGCTTCAACCTTCCTTGGCTATTTTTTGTATAATTATTCTATAATATTTTCCTTACTATTTTCCCTTTTTTAGTACGCTGAAGTTGGCTCAAGTTTGGTGCATGAAAATGCATGGAGACAATGTCCACGCTCGGTTATTTATTGATGGTGAAAGCCGTGGGTGAAGTTGGGTCAAAGAGGTGAAAGATGACATTATTTCTCTTGTCAACAAGTGTCCCAAACGTGGCTGAAGTGTTGGGTGATTTTCGGCTTAGTCATCGCCGAGGTGTCAAGCATGCACGGGCTTAGTCATCACTCGTGCGTGCGTGTTGCGCCATGTGTGCAAGTTACTAGGTGACTCATCACCTCACTTGCACACCAAAACTTATCCGTGGTAAATTACTGACGGAAATCTTAAGGAAATGGATTGGGATTTTCTTTACTTGATCATGGTGCTTAGGGCAATATAAGCATGCTTAGGGTGTATTGACTTGCGCTACGCGCAATGCCGCGCGCTGCGCACAGTCGCGTACGCGTGCTACACGCATGGCTATGCACGGCGTGCGTGTGTAGTGTACCTTGTGTACACTCATGTCTTAACATGATTTGACTTCGAAATTAAATCCGAACATTCTTAACTTTCAATAATTAATCCCGATTAATAATGTCCGTTTATAAAATAAACGGTTCGGAAATTAATTATCGACTTAACCTGGTTAATAATTAACCGGATAGACTTTTCGACTTAAAGTCGAACTTATTCGCCGAAAATGAACGAGAATAATAAAAGGAAATACATCACTTTTATTAACAAGAAATTGGGTTATTACATTTCGCACTTTCTGGGGTGAAAAACTTGGCTTTTTATTGGGCGATGTGAAAAACTTAGCATGACTTCAAAACGGGATGAAAATAGCTATTTTCACTTTTTTTAATACTACTTACATTTTTTTTTTCTCATGTTTTATTTAAAATATATAATTTTATTATTTGGACTTAAGTGTGTCAAATTATTATAAGTTGAGATAATTTTATTTTGTAGGTAGTTAAAGTAAATTAAAATTAAGGTATTTAATATTGGTTTCTAGGCGCCCTCTAGGCCCCGCCTACCGCCTAGTGGGCGCCTAACGACTTTTAGAACACCGCTTGGTACTATTAACTTGCAAAATTGTTAATATAAATACAATATTGTGTTTACGGGGGTGTATTTAGTTTCAACTTTTAGAGACATTTTAAAATTTCAGAATTCTAGTGTATTCAACTAGAACTTTTAGAGACTTCTGAAAAGTTACATGTTTTCAATTGAGACTTTTAAAGACTTTTTATAAGTCTTTAAAAGTCTCAAGATATTCAATTAAAACTTTTTGAGAGTCTTTATAAGTCACCATGTATTCAAAATACGAAGACTTTATGAGACTTTTTAAATTGTGAGACTTTTAGAGACTTTTCTAACAAAATTACAAAAGAGAAAGTCCCAACAGAAGTCTCATCAATATTGTTGAGATTTTGCTGGACTTATGTGACTCTCTTCACACTCTCTTTCTTTTTCTTTCTAACATGACTTTGTATCTCATCATATCACTTTCATGCTCTATTATTTTTCTCATTTATTTTGATACCTTCTATAATTTTGTCTTCATTACTTATATTTAACGTGATCTTTATTTTATATATTTTTTATTAGGGTTATTTTATGTATGTATAACTAACTGAGTAATGCTATATGTAAATAATAGTGTACATAGAAGTGTACATAACACTCACATCGAGTGGGTCCCACCAAAATTAAAAAATCAAGTGGACCACACTCCATGTGAGTGTTATGTACATATCTATGTACATTTATTATGTAATTGTAGCTTTTTCCTAACTTTATTTTCTCATTTTGTTATCTTGTGAGACTTTTCAAATGTTAAATGCTTCCATAATTTGCACTTGCAAATAATTTATTTGTTCTCTCTTTTTATTTGTCAATGTTTATTTTTAAATATTAAAAAATTATTTAATTTTCTATTAGTTTATTTGTTGATATTGAATTATTCTGAATATTATTGATAACTTTATAAAATAAAATTATTGTTTTTCGACAATGTTTGTATCTTTCATAGTTTGACTCGTTGAAGCTCGGATTGATTTGCTCGTTTAACAAATCTAAAATCTTAAACAATTAGCATAACAATGAG